AAATGCGGGATCCCTAGGTGGCGCAGCGGTTTGGCGCCTGCCTTTGGCCCAGGGCGTGATCCTGGAGACCCTGGATCGAATCCCACGTCAGGCTCCCGGTGCATGGAGCCTGCTTCTCCCTCTGCCTGTGTCTCTGCCTCTCTCTCTCTCTCTCTCTGTGTGCCTATCATAAATAAATTAAAAAAAAAAAAAAAGCTAAATGCCTCAGAATCAAGCAGCTAATAGTGAAGTGCTGAAGCTGGGATTGGAACCAAGGCCTATCTGGCTCCTTGATTATAAAAATAATTCTAAGTTTTGCCATTGATTTTCCTTGTAAACTCTAAAGCATTAATTTATATCTTGGTTCTTCTATTTCTTGGTCTATTTCTTGGTCCAAAGTAATAACTTTGCTAGATTGTACTGCAAATTACTTACTTATGGGGCGCCTGGGTGGCTCAGACAGCTAAGCATCTGACTTTTGATCTCAGCTCAGATTTCCATTTCAGGGTCATGAGTTCAAGCCGCGTATTAGGCTCTACACTAGGCATGAAGCCTACTTTAAAAAAAAAAAAAAGAAGAATTAGTTCCTTAAAGTGCTCTACCAATATTGTTTGTACACTGAGACACAGGTGTATATATATAATGAAACCTATATTTTCATCTGCCACTCAGAAACTTAAAATCAACAGGAAACAGTCTGTTGCTCTATTATCTGTGCTATTTCTAGTTACTAATATGCTTATGACACATTAAAAGCTGTACAATAATTTGATTTAAATTCCTAAGTAGCGGGGATCCCTGGGTGGCTCAGCGGTTCAGTCTTTGGCCCAGAGTGTGATCCTGGAGTTCCAGGATCGAGTCCCACATCGGGCTCCCTGCATGGAGCCTGCTTCTCCCTCTGCCTGTATCTCTGTCTCTCTGTCTCTGTGTGTCTCTCATGAATAAATAAAATCTTTTAAAAATAAATTCCTAAGCAGCTATCTTTTGTAGCTGTTGTCCCCGTTCTTCACAACAATCCACCAGAATAGAAAGAATGTTCAATACTTCTAATTATTTTCAGGGCACCTGGGTGGCTCAGTGGTTGAGCATCTGCCTTTGGCTCAGGTCATGATCTTGGGGTCCTGGGATGGAGTTCCATATCAGGCTCCCCACAGGGAGCCTGTTTCTGTCTCTGCCTCTCTCTGTGTGTCCCTCATGAATAAATAAACAAAATCTTTTTTTAAAAAAAAAACTTCTTGGGACGCCTGGGTGGCTCAGTGGTTGAGTGTCTGTCTTCAGCTCAGGGCGTGATCCTGGACTCCCTGGATCGAGTCCCACATGGGGCTCCCTGTAAGGAGCCTGCTTCTCACTTTGCCTATGTCTCTGCCTCTCTTTCTCTGTGTCTCATGAATAAATAAATATTTTTAAAAATCTTTTAAATACTTCTCATTATTTTCAAAAATTAGAGAGTGTGTTGGGTGCTTTCTTCCTTTTAAGTTCCCATTTGTTTACTTAGTATGTAATAATTTAGTGTTAAAAACTAATTAAATAGTTGTTACCTTTTTTTAGCTTATTTGCTTTCCATATAGGCAATAAAATTATGGCAACCCAGTTTTTTTTTAATTTTTTTTTTTATTTATTTATGATAGTCACAGAGAGAGAGAGAGAGAGAGAGAGAGAGAGAGAGAGGCAGAGTCATAGGCTGAGGGAGAAGCAGGCTCCATGCACCGGGAGCCCGACGTGGGATTCGATCCCGGGTCTCCAGGATCGCGCCCTGGGCCAAAGGCAGGCGCTAAACCGCTGCGCCACCCAGGGATCCCTGGCAACCCAGTTTTTATGTTATTTTAGAATGCCAGTGGGGTAATGCAAACAACTATTTTAACTAATTTTTAGTGAATGTGCTTCCCTCTCCCAGGAGGGTGCATTTTCTTTTAATTTCTCTTTCTCTTTCTCTGGGCTCTGCATGGAATTTTCCTCTCCTCTTCATCCTGATGGTGTAATACATGATCACATGTTCGTTGTCTTGTTTTTCTCTTGGTGGTGTACTTCCATTTCCTTCTCCTTTTTCATCTTTTCTCTCATTATGGCCTCTAAGAAGATCCTCTCCAGGGTCCCTCTGATCTCTATGCTAATAGGAAAGCACTGAAGCACTGAAATGACCAAAAGGAAGACAAAGAGAAAACAAAATCCTGAAAGCAGCTGGGAGCCCTTAGTTCTAACCATCGCTATGGAAACAATTCCACAGAGATCAATCTGGAAACAATTCTGTAGGGGATCACTGGAGCAGTGGTGAACCAATCTCACCAAGACTTACAAAATTCAATTTGCAAATGGGAATACTTGTTAGACTTTTTTTTTTTTTTTTTTTTTTTTTTTTTTTTATAAAAGAAGTAAAGTAGGAAGCCAAAGAAAAATTAGATTTGTCCCTGGGGTGCCTGGTTGGCTAGCTCAGTCAATAGAACATGAGACTCTTGATCTCTGAGGTGTGGGTTCAAGCCCCACATTGGGTGCAGAGATTACTTTAAATAAATAAATAAAAACAAAATTATTTTTAAAAATTAGGTTTGCCCCAAAATTAGTGCATATTTTTTAATTCAAAGTTTCCTACTTGCTGTAATAATAAAAAACTAAAAGGAATGCATGTCCTAATTTCAAGTCCTTCCTAAGCATTCACTGTGGCAAACAGCAGAGTGCCTGATATAAGGGAATTGTGGCTATCACACAAAGAAAATTTGAAGTTCAGGGGTGAAAAGTCATTAGAATGATTTTAGGATTGTGGCCCATAACCATACAAATTAGTATGTGGAAAGAATGCCAAACTCAGTCAGGCACTAAATATATTGTTTGAATTCAGGCAAGGGATGAAAGGGATTACAGAATTCCATCTACCAAATCAGGCTGAAAGTGATAGAACTTGAACCCAGGGAAGAACTCCATCTGAAGTGTGGAAGTTTGGAATCTTACTAATATAGCTTTTTTTTTTTTTTTTTAATTGGAGGAGGGGCTCAAGGTGTCAGTGACATCAGGACATCAAGTTTCAGGCCTGTTCAAAAGTCTCCAGCCAATGAACCATTAACTGCAGGTCTCCTGAGTTGGTAATGTTTGTTAGGGGAAGTAACTTCAATTTGCCTAAAATGCTTGTTCCCTTAAAGCATAGTTAAGTTATATGCAACCCAAAGAAGGTCCGGAGTGCTTTAAGATCTTAGCCCCTGGAGTAAGAACCATCTAGATTCAAATCCTAGCTTCTGTCACTAAGTGTGTGACCTTGAGCAACTTTCTGTACTTCTCAAACTCAGGCAACTCATCTGTAAAATGGGAGCAATAATTATGCTCCTTTAGGATCTTAAGGATTCAGTGGATTGAGCACAGCACTAGCTTAAGCAAGTTCTTAATAAATGTGAACCACAATGTTTCATTATGGTTTTGTAACAAAGTGTTACATTTTGTTTTTCTGTGTCTTGTAATGATGACCACACTGCCCCATCCCCCTTTCTCTAAGAGGTTGAGGGAGCCGGCTCAAGAAAAGCAATAGGGCACTATGACCTAGACAATTCTTACTGTCCCACACTTGTGTAAAGCAGGTTTGAGGGTGAATTAAACCATGACATGGAAATTTCCATTTTATGCAGGTAACTGACCTCCTGCCTCCACCCTACACATGAGATTTCATGGGGTAAAACATTATTCAAGCTTCTCCACTGCTAACATCCCGTTACCCACCTTATCCCACCTCAAGGGCTTCCCAATCTCTGTAATAGGTCTTTGGCTGGAAATGAAAGGTTTGCATCCTACTTTCGTCCACATTTCCAACCTACAGAAACATCCCTGTGTTCAAATTCATTTTCTTTCCTCCCTTGCACTTCATAAACGGTTCCTACATTTGCACTTTAACTTGCATTGATCTCTTTAACAGAACAGCCCTGCAACCTTCCCACAGGAATTTGGCTTAAAAACAAACAAACAAAAAAAAAGAAAACAAACAAAAGCCATTCGGTGTCACTTAGGACCTTGGCGGTGGGACAACACAACCCAAAGGTGTTAGGTGTCACTTGTACGTGCAATTTTCAAGAATGCAAAGCCCTATTTAGAAAACAACCCGACGGGATCCCTGGGTGGCGCAGCGGTTTGGCGCCTGCCTTTGGCCCAGGGCGCGATCCTGGAGACCTGGGATCGAATCCCACATCGGGCTCCCAGTGCATGGAGCCTGCTTCTCCCTCTGCCTGTGTCTCTGCCTCTCTCTCTGTGTGTGTGTGACTATCATAAATAAATAAAAATTTATAAAAAAAAAAAAAAAAAGAAAACAACCCGAACTTGTCAATCATGGGTGCCTAATTTGTCACTGAGGTTATAAAGTGGGAGAGGTGAAACTAACAAAAAACAAATGAACTCAATAGGGAGAAGGCTGCCAGAGGGGATGGGTGAAATAGATAAAGGGGATTAAGAGGTATAAGTTTCCAGTTACAAAATAAGTCACAGAGGTGAAAAGCCCAAAATAGGGAATATAGTCGGTATTATAAGGCTATATGGTGGGACGCCTGGGTGGCTCAGCGGCTGAGCATTCGCCTTTGGCTCAGGGTGTGATCCCGGAGTCCCGGGATGGAGTCCCGCGTCGGGCTCCCTGCGTGGAGCCTGCTTCTCCCTCTGCCTGTGTCTCTACCTCTCTCTCCCTGGGTCTCCCATGAATAAATGGATAAAAATCTTAATTAAAAAAAAAAGGGTTGTGGTAACAGTGACTACTTTTCCTAGTGAGCCTTGAGTATAGAATTGTGCCACCAGCGTTGTACACCTCGAAGTAATATAATCACTGTACGTTAATTACACTTCAATACAAAGTGAAGAGTTGAAAAGCAGGAGCGAGCAAACAGGAAGGCAGGCACAGGAGAAAGCGAGTAACTTTCCCTCGAGACGAGCTATAGGGAAACCGAGAGGGGAGGAGGGCGAGGGCGGGGCCGGCGCCTAGTGCCAGGAGGAGGGGCCTCGGACTAAGCCCAAATGAGAGTCTGGAGGACGCTCTTGTATCTTCGCAGCGGGGAAACACTTACTTTTACTGCATAACGCAAACCTCCCAAGAAAAGCCCTCTTCGCCTTTGGCCGCCGAACCACGTGGCATCCCTTCCCCGCACGTGACGCTGGGGCAAGGGTAGGTAGGGCCTCTATGGAATCTGTCCTTCGGAGAATTTCTCCGCACCGCTTCAACACACACACTGGCAGAACTACCACGGCCACTTCACATCCTCCGGAGCGGGGCGGAAAGGTGGGCTCTACGCATTTAACAGTTTTACGGTAACCCGCGTCTCTAATTGGACTAGCTCCGCTATTCCCCACTTCTTTCCCCAACAAACTGGTCAACCCACCAGCGCGCACGCGCGCTTCCAGCGGCCAGCACCGAGGCGGGCTCGCCTCTCTGGTCTCGCGAGAGCGGGCCGGCAGGTCTCCGTTGCTCTCGCCCCACCCCCTCCTTCTCGCTCGCTCTCTCCCATCCCCCCAAGCCAGTCGCTCTGCTGCGCAGCTCCCTTAGCGGTTGCCGCCGCCGGAGACGGTTGGGAGAACCGTTGTGGTGAGCGCTACACGAGGCGAGCGACTTCTCCTCCTTCCACGACCGACCCCGCGGGCACCGGAGTCGGCGTTACTGTTGCCCGACAGGGTATCTGAAGTAAAAGGGGGTAGGTTGGGCTGGTGGTTTCAAGAGCTGAGTCGGGAGAAGGACGAAAGAGACGGGGGGGGGGGAGTGTGGAGGTCGCCGCTCGGAGGCGGCCACGCTACGCCTCCCAGGCGATCTCCCACTTCACGGAGGGCGGCCTGCCGGGGCGGGGGGAACACTTGCTCAGGTGAAATTCGGTGGACGAAACTGAGGCCCGGAGTGGGGGGTCATCCAGCATTTCCCCTCTTTCCCTGCTGGTTTGGCCTCCGCCATCTTGGGTACGGTGGCGCGGCCACCTCGGCTTCCCGCCCTTCCCCTCTCTTACTACTTTTTGCCCCTCAGCTTCCGAAAACTGATTTAGAAGGCCGGGGGGGGAGGTCAGAGCGCCCCGTAAGGGATGAGGGTGGGGAGCGAAGCGAGCAGGGAAAGGCTGGGCATTTGGGGTGGGGGGGGCGGTCTGGGCTGGCGGGCGCGCTCCCGATGGAAATGGCGCCGGATGGGCCTGGCCTCCCACCGCGGCCTCCCTTCCTCCGCAGTCTCGGCTGGGCTACCAGGGCTGGCGGGACTGCGAGTGACTTCTGACGCAGGTTCCCAAGATGAGAGAGGCTGGAGCTGGGGGAGGAAAGCCAATGGCGACGAAGGCGCTCAACTCCCAAATCCAGGACAAAGGAGGCAGACGGCCTCCTTTGTAATTCCGCCGCCCGGTGGCGAAGGTTTTAAAGCCAAGCTTGGCTGCCGGACGGAGGGGTGTCGGGAGGGGGGGAAGGGGCGTACTCTCCTTAGCTCTCTGGTCTCTAGGGCAGCTAGATAAACGAAAAGTCTCCGGGGAGGAATAAAGGACGCTTAGCCGGCCCTTATATTCCAGATTTGGAACTTCGAAAAGAGTACGTACTTATTTTTCCAAAGGGTGTTTTGGTTTTGGGTTTTTTTTTTTTTATTCCTTCTGACGTTTATCTTAAACGTAAAGACTTTATGGGTAGTTTGTTTTGTAAGCAGTAAAAAGCGGGTGACTTGTCCTAGGAATGTGAAATGGGCCTATTTCAAATAGGTCGTCTGGGCCCAGTGAATTATGATAGAGGTTTCTGAACTTTTGGGCGGGGGTGGGTGGTTTAGCAATGGTTTTGTGTAGTTTGGCACATACTGGGTTATAATTTAAGTAGGAGTTTTACCTTTAGGAGACGGTTAAAACAATCCGTGATGGCATAAATTTGTGTAGGAATTGAGTTATTGGCTTTTCAGTATTAAATCTCCAAAGATTACACGTTGTGCAAGGAGGTTGTAGAAGTAAAATACATCCAACATTCAGTTAGCGTTAATTTTTCTTTTGGTAGCTGAGCATGTTTTTTTATTTGGTATAAGACTGTGGTAATATTTTGACCTAGAAAATAAGCCTACTCAACAAAAAGACAAACCGAAAGCCCAGTCATATGGTAGGGTGATGATTTTTGGTCCTTAGGAGAGAATTTGGTAATTTCTACTGAATAGGATACAAAAGTGACAGGCAAGGCCTGAGAGTAACAGTTTCCAGTAACAGCTGTGAATCTTTACAAGAACTCTTACCTACCGTTTTCAGCTTTTAAAAAAAAAAAAAACAAAACAAACAAACGAAAAAGCCTTTCTGTTGTTGAAGATGGTCTGAATTTAGTAGTCTTTGAAAAAGCCCAGTTTCCTGTGATACAGTTCATGATAAAACTGCTTTCCTAATTGGATTACCCTAGAAACCCTTTTTTCTGCTCTCATCTGCATCACAATCTGGAAATCCATCTTGATTGCTAATTGCCTTTATATTTTTAATAACCGTGTTCTTATTTGGGTAAACAAGTGGCTGAGCTGCAGTAGGTGATGGTTACTTTGTTTTAGGAAAGAAACTCCTTTGTAAGTTTAGACTTCACCTCCCTTTAGGTATTATTAGTGTCTTTTTTCTACTGAAAATTAAGGACCGAGCACATTGGGAAGGGGAAATGATGTAAATTTTTCATTTTAGTTAGACATATTACCACTTTTTGCCAGAGTTTGAAGTTCATTCTCATTTTTTAGGGCGAGTGGGTTTCCATTTATAAAGTTATTTGATGCATCACACTGTAACTTTTATGTATTATGCTTCAGAAGATGATAGCATATGCCTGTGTTACAAAGAACAAACTTGACCTGTTTAAAAATCATACAGTATGTGGACGTTTGTGACTGGTCTCTTTGACCTAGCATAACTTTTAGGAAATTAAAGTCTCATTCAAAACTGACTACAGTTATCTTAGTTCAACTTTTTTTAATTGGTGCTAACACTTGGGAAGTCTTAAAGCAGAATTAAGATTAGTCATGACACTGTTGCAAAGAAAGGTTCAGATGGATTATCCTGAATAATTAATAAATTCCAGGTAGTTTCTGGGACACTTTATTAATGTATTAGAGCAGATTGTCTTTTGTATGTCTCAAGAGTTTGTTGGTTTTGTTTTGTAACTAGAATTCTAGACTCATTTTGAAGAAGTCTAGTGTGGCTTTAAGATGCATACTCTAATACATGATACATGTTGAGTGGAGAGTCATCCTATAAAATAGTTTGTCTTTTGAATCTGATGAACTTTTCCTCAAGTTAAAATTGCTTTGTGTGGTATTTATAGACTTAATACTATGTTTATATAGTTCTCTTTGGTATGGACTGATTGAAAAAAAACTATTTTGCTTGCTAGTGTTTCTTGGAAAGGGCTTAAGTTTTATAGTAAAGATAAGTCAATAAAAAAAAAAGATAAGTCAATTTCCATCCTTTTTTGTTCCCCAAAGTGTCTTTACAATGAAGAAAGAAATGGGCTAAATGAGAAGAAGCATCACACATTAAGGTCTTTTCACAACAGATTAGATTGGTTTTGCAAAATACTTAAATTTTTCTTGAGTTACTAACTCCAGAAAAGTTACCCCCCCTCCACTTTTTCCTTCTTCTATTCTTGAATCACCTTTTATGGGAAAGCCATTCTTTTTTCTTTTTTTGAAGTTGGTGTCATTTTTAAAAAGTTTTTTTCGGGGGGGGGGTGTTTTGTTTTTGCTTTAAGAAAATGGTAGATACACTCTATGTCTCAACTTTTTTGCCAAACTGATTTCAGGGTCTCCGTCTTTCAGGACTACTCTAGAACAGTATTTTTTACCTTCCTAACACATGTTCTAGTAAACCTTTCCCAAAATCCTCCTTTTTTCCCTCTATCTTGGACAAGTCCTAAGAAACTTGAAAGCTTTAAGCCTATGTTGACTTTGGAAATGCCTTCTATCTTTATTTCCTTTTAAGACTCAAGATAGTTTTTCATCCTTGAAGGTTTGTGGTATATTTCAGTAGTTTTACAGGATCCCTTAAAATCCAGTAAGAATGGCTACCATTGAATGATTACCATACTGCAGACTTAGCATTAATAAATGATTTGAGTCTTTAAACAGTCCAGCGAGGTATGGGCACCACTGCTATATTTTAGAGCTGAATACAGAGGTTAAGTTTGCTTAAATCAGCCAGCCAGTGAGTGGCAGAATAGGGATTCAAAACCAGTTCTCTCAAAAATTCATGCCTGGTATTGGTGTGCCTAAAAATTAGTTGTAAAGTCTGATACAAAAATCATAGTCTTCCCACTTTGGACCTCTCTGTCTAGAGTGACTCCCAGAATTTTAAAAACCGCAAAACAAGTATCAAAGGTGATTCATATGCCAGAGGTATTTGATTAATAAACACATTTGGAAAATTTCTACCTTAGGTTATTTTAAATGCACAGATCCTAGGGAAAAAATTTTACTCTTGCAGATGTTCTCCCTGTTGGACTGATATAATTAGATGGTGTGAAATCAAATATTAGTGAACATGGTTATGCAATATCTTGAAGTGTAAAGGAATCAAGTGAACAAACTGTTTTGTTTACAGGGGAGGAGGTGGTGAGGGAAAGGTTTGAAATGCTCAGGTGAGTAGGATTCCTACAGTTGTTTAGTGAAATTTGTAAGGTCTGGTAAGTTTCTGCAGCTGAAGGACTTCTGCATTAACCTCTTTATAAACTGTTCTGGAATTCTAAAAGAAAAGATGGTTGTCTCTTGGGAAGGGAACTGGATGTGGAGGGGTTCTTTTTGGAGGGCTAGGAGGGCTTCTCAGTGTACCCTAAAATACTTTTTAAATGTGAATGTATTTTGGTTTTTTTTGTGTGTGTGTTTAAAAGTAAAGCAGTGAATTGATTTTTTTTTTTTTTTTATGTACAATCTCCTATAACTTCCCAACAGGTAGCTTCCAAAAACACTGGTACTGTTGGAAGGCATTCACTTTTGAGTGGATTACCTCAGTTTTAAAGCTCACCCTAATTCATTTTAAAACGTTTTTGAGGAGTGTTTAGATTTAGTTAAAATAGATAAAGGAGTTTTTCCTCCTTCAAAAACAATTTTGATGCGTTAGAATTAAAATGCATCTAAAAAGTTAAGACTTTGATGTTAGAAAAATGACGTAACCAAAGTACTCCTTGAACTTTTGACTGAGCCTCTTACTGTGAGTGGACAGTGATGCTGTGTGCAGCTTTTGAATAAG